GGGAATCACCGGGGTCGGGCAGTGCCGGCAACCGGAGCGGGGGTGGGCCGGGCTGACTCCGTCCTCATCCTCGGGCTGGGATGAAGGGTTGCGGTCGCGCCGGCTCTGCACCCAGCTTGGAGTGTGTCGGGGTTGTGTCCAACTGAGGAAATAAATTCCTGTGCAGAAAAAACATTGGTACAGGGAAGATACAGCCCTGTGCTGCCCCAACTTTTCTGTAGCTTCAGGCGCTTGCATTGTGGGTGCTGATAACTTGCTAGGAGCACCTGGGTTTGATTTTTAGGTCCTTCCTGAAAAGCTGGGTGCTAATCTGGTCGCTGGTCAGTGAGCACCCCTCTTCACTGTCTCTCGGAGCAGGACGGGGGATGCAGCAGTGCAGGTTTTGTCTCCCCTGGAGCACCAAGAGGAGCTGCAATCTGGATCCTGAAAGTAGGAAAAAGCACTTTAACAGAGCTCCTCAGAGGACAGCCATACATTTAAGCTGGGTTTTACCTACATCTTCTGTGAGCTTAGAGTGGAAAAGCCTTTCTCCTTTCTATTTTTCTTCTAATCTTGCAGTTTTTCTTTTAGTTAGGAATGGGATTATGGATAGATTGTGCTGGGAAAAGTAATTTTTAGCTCATAAATTAGGATCTTGCTGTATGATGAGTTTATTCTGGAATAAGTTGCTGAATATATTTACATTACAGTAGCTGATCCAGAAGAATTTTTTTACATAGCCATTGTTCCACAGTAGCTATTCCAGACAATTTCTCTGTGAATAAAAGTCCTAGAAGTTACTGCTTGCTTTTGTGCTAGATTTTTTCTATATCCCTCTTGCCACCATTTTCCTCTGGACTTAGTCTGATGACTCTGAGCTTACAGCATTGTTCTGAGCTTCGAAGGATCAGAGATATATTTTACTACTTTGGTCCTTTTGGGGAAAAAAAATAAGAAAAAAAAAATGTCATTCATTCAAGGCAGGACTTGTTTTTCTGGACTTACTGGAGTGGAAGAAAAAGGATATGACTGAGAAAATGACACACCGGAGAGCTGCACGTAAACATCCCAGCCTCGCTATTTGCTTTCCTCCCCTGCTTGGCAGGAGGGTGAAGGCATGCTGCTGTAATGTCGCATCCTCCGGTGCTTGCCAACAGGGTCAGTGCACACCCAGGCTCTCTGTTACCATCTCCCTTTCCACGGAGACGTTAACGTCGCTGCTCGGGGCCAGAGGCCATGCTTAGATAGCACTGGCTGCAATTGCAAGGCAGCAGAACTAGTTCATGCGACAATTGGCAGAGACGCCGGGGGCCACGTGGTCAGAAGGAGCAAACCCAAGCGAGTGCAGGTGGGAGAAACAGCCCAAGGTACGTGGTGGTGTCCCCAGAACATGCAAAGTGGTCGGTGCAATCGGAGCAGCAGAGCTACTGATTTTAATATGTGTAATGACAGCAGACTGTTCCTCCTCTGGATTAGATTTCTTTAGGGTAAAGCCTTTCTCCCAGTACTGAGCAGCTGAGTCAATTTTTAAATATATTCTCAACAAAGAGCAGCATTTGTACTGCCTGTGTTGGACTTGGTGTTGAGAGGAAGAGATGCTGCGAGCATCCAGGGCTATGGAAGAGGCCAATCCCCTTCCTCTTTGAAATAAGCCAAGCATACTCAAGGAGCGATACTGGGAAGCAATAAAGGGCCACTTGAAAGGGCAGTACTACCCTAAGGGTAATTAAGGCTCGTTTTTGTTTAGCAGGATGCACTCTGTAGTGCATTGGAAGTGGTGTAAGTAGATGGTGTCTGCCAGGAGAGCTTTAAAATCATCTTTCCTGTTGGTTGGATTTGCGACTCTATTCTCCATCTGCAACACAACGTGTATTTGAGGATTAGCAGATGGTGCCTTGGTGGTACCAATAGCAGGGGCTTTTTGTATCACTTATCTTTGCTCCTCTAATGGTAGGATTTGTACAGTCTGTGTGAACTTGAGGGCATTTCTCAGGTGTTAGAGGGGATTGCAGTGTTTTGGAAACTCAGATTGCCTCTAGTTGCACTGGGGGTGATTTCTGAAGAGCTGGCTATGCAAGGTTCAGGTTAGCAGTCATAGAAAAGAAGCATTTGCTAATTATGTGTATCTGTTTTGCTGTTGAGGCTTAGGAACACAAAATTCTTTAGAGTGGATTTTTTGTGTATAAAATAACTGGGTTTGGCTTACTGCAAAAAAAAAAAGTATTATATATGCCATATTACAATAGCAGAAAATTCTGTGTTTGTTTCTTCTGCTGTAGAAAATATGTGGGTGTATACATACATGTATATGTACGGCCTCAATCTCTTCAGCTTTCGATAACAAAAATAGCAGCAAAATCTTTCCTTCCCTCAAGGCAAGCAATAACCTTCTCTGTGATTTTCAGAGAGTCCCTGCTTTGCAGACACCACCAATTCCCTTCCCTGTCCCCAGCGTTATGCTCTGAACACTGATGGGTTCCCCATGCCCTTCCCACACTGCTGGCTCCCCAGGAATTCACTTGCTCTAAAGGAAATGGGATTTGTCAGCCCCAGATAAATCCCCTACCCCTGCAGAGACGCTTAATCCTTGCTGTCCCACTCCAGTGCCGTGGGCTGCTTGGATGGCCGGAGTGAGATGTTTTGGGCTGGGCTGACCACGTTCCTCTTTCACAGGTGTTTGATCCCCACGATTTGTACACCGGAGAACAGTTCTCCAAGGTCCTGAGTACGTTAACAGCTGTAAATAAAGCTACTGAAGGTAAGGAAAAAAGTTTCTTTTTTTCTGTTGTCTTTTCAAATTCTGATGTCTGCTGGCGTGAGGTGGGTTTTTTTGATTATTCCTAGTTTACTATGATTTCTGGAGGCTTGGCAAATTGTACTGCCAGCACTGATGCCTGATGCTGGACAGTGGGATCGACATGTCATGCTTCTGCCAATTCCAGGTTTAAATGTGGCGTTTCAGAGTTGCTGCTTGCAGTTCACAGGGCTAGATTGTCGCTTTACACTAAGGGACCTCTGCGCAGGTTTGACAGTATTAAGGGACCTCAAAGTAGGTCATCGTAAAGGATCCTCTGTGTAAATGAGCCTGCACCTCCCAAAATGCAAATATCAGATTTTAAATAGTGCGTTTTAAAGCCAAAGAGAAAACCAGATCCATCTGCATAGTATCTTTACTGAATATCAAAACAAATGTTGTCAAAAGCTCAGTCAATTGTATCGATGTTTTTTTCTCTGTCATCTCCCTGGATCCATGGAATAGGCTCCTGGATTTGGGAATTGAGCTGATGGCTTGTCCTGCTTCCCTGGGTGCAGGAGCGAGCTGCTGGAGCAAACAGCCCAAGGAGCCCAATCAGCTCCTATTGTTTCCATCCCAAATATGTAGCTGTTCCCCACGGGCTGCTTTAAACTGATATTTGGTCACATAGGCTGTGAAAGGAGAAGCTCACCAGGAGGACGATTATGGCGTGGTACTCTGTGAGGGGTGAGGGGACCGGGGGCTCTGTGCTGGGGGGCTGAGGAGCAGCTCTTTGCTGAGCTGGGAGGAGTTTGCAGGGTGGAAAGGGTTTCTGTCCCCTGGCATGTAAGGGGGTTTGCACAGAGTCCTGCACTCTCACCATGGTCCAGCACTAGCAGGAGAGTTTGGTTTTCCAGCTGCAATTACATTTTAGGCAATTAAAAGGAGAAAAATTCAAAACCCAACCCCCTGATTTTTCCTTTAGGCAGCTCTTTGCTGAGCTGGGAGGAGTTTGCAGGGTGGAAAGGGTTTCTGTCCCCTGGCATGTAAGGGGGTTTGCACAGAGTCCTGCACTCTCACCATGGTCCAGCACTAGCAGGAGAGTTTGGTTTTCCAGCTGCAATTACATTTTAGGCAATTAAAAGGAGAAAAATTCAAAACCCAACCCCCTGATTTTTCCTTTAGTAGGACTAGATTTGGCTTGCAGTGGTTTTCTTGGCTGTTTTATTTCTCTTTCAACTGGATTTTTGCTTTTGGGTTAGCTTCTGCTAGTACAGAAGCTGCTTGAGCATTCAATGAAACAACCTCATTGCTGGGACTGGACCCTCTCCTCCCTATTTCCTCTTCTCTCTTCTGTTCTGATGCAAGGCTTTATAAAATAATATATAGAAAAATATATACTATATTTATACATTATATAACCTATTGTATATTGTTTTATGATGTATAGATATATAAACAGCAACTTATATATTGTTTCTGTCAGATGTTACCAGCGGGGCTATAGGAATCCTCTTGGTTTCATGGCAAACATCTGTTTGAACATATGCTTTCTCTGTTTAAATGTTAAAAAGCGCAATGCCTGTGATATAATTAGCTGTTCAGGAAGAGAGCACTCCTGGGAAAAGTACAGGGTAAAATAAATACATGTCTGAAATATTTGCTTTTTGGTGGCTTGGTCAAGTTCCTGAGAAGCAGGAGCCTGTGTCCTACAAACTGACTGCAGATGGCCCGGTTTGTCCATCTCAACAGGGGCCAAGGGCTGGATGGAGCATCGGGACCAGGCTGGCACCAGGGCTTCGGCATACCTGTGCACTCCAAGTTGGAGGCAGAGGGAAGTAGGTGACAACTAAGGAAACGCTGTAGAAATGTGCTTCTGAGCATCCATTTGAAGTCCAAATCCTTGTGTCTTTGTGGATCTTCTTGTGCAGATAACTAGAGGCATCGTTCATAGGGGATAAACTCAGAATTGAGCAGCTGTCCATCAGATAAGAGCAATACAGAGCTTGATGCTTTCATCTGAAAGAGAGGGCAGGGGAAGAAAACCAGCTGTGCTGGATCAGACGAGGCTCATCTGCCAAAAATAGTGTAGGAATGTGAGCAGAAAACCCAGCTATTTTAACTGTAGTTTAAGCAATATATGGCTGCAGTGTTCCATGCTGGACCAGGCATAAAATAGGATGCTGTCATGATGCAATATAAATGATACACTTCCCTGCCAAACTGTCAAAGTCAGTTTTACATTTGTTTCTAGGTTGCTGCAGATATTTATAAAAGCTTTGGAAGACTGGGAGGGGCAGGGAGAAGCATAAAATCTACAGTAACCGAGTCATTTCCGCGGGACTGTTGCTGATGGCTTGAATAAGTGAAGAAGCCTGGAATCGTGGTTTACACCCTCCCTTTTTGGAAGGGCTAAGGAGAAGAACATCTCACGCTGGCAGTTGGCCACCCCTCCTGGCCCGTGAGTTGCAGGGAGCAGCCGAAACCGCTCCTGCTCAAATATCAGGATGCTTCAGAGAACAAAAAAATAAACCCACTCTGTTTGCAAAGTGGGTTTTCCTTGTGGAGGGATTTTGCTGTCGCCGCAGCCCGGGGAGCTGGGAATTCACTGTGCGGTTGTCAGGCAATTGTGTAACGAGCAGGGCAAGAGAGAAAACTGACTCACGCCCATGGGAGTGTGGATGTTGTCTATCAGTGGAGCCTGGACTGGGCGGACGACCAGTGTGTGGGTATGATGTTGGCTGGGGGTTTGTAAGGCAGCAGCACCTGGAAGTGGTAGTAATGGACCTAGTCCCTGTGGTGCAAGGTGCTGGGTGAAGACAAAGCAAGTCCATTCTCCATGTTTGTGTTGCTCCAGGTACAATCCAAGGATGCGGTGTTTTCCTATTGAAACAAAAATCCTCTGGAGAGAACGGGAGCCCAGCTGAGTTCCTGTAACTCCCACCAAACTTCCCTTTCAGAATGAGTTTTCCATGTTGACGTTCAGACTGGAGGAGAATGGGGAAATAGTAGCCTTAGAGTTTTTGTTTTCTGATTCCTGCACACACTCGATGTAGCATTTTCGAAGAGCTTCAAATGTTTTCCCAAGGACTTGCACACCCAGCAAAGCAATGCCTGCAAACCACAGGCTGCTGCTCTCTGTCCTCCTTTTGAGGTCCGTGGGCATGCGAGGTCCACACCACAGGTGGAAAACAACAACTCTGGGATACAGAAATGTTTGTAAATCTGAAAAGAAGCTACAAGGCAAATCTCGAAAGTACTTCACAGTTTACTGAAATGATAACGTCTGTTGTTTCTTCCTTTGAGCACCATGATACACAGAAAGGAGGTGATCTGAGAGTTGTCCCATGGTGTGGTATGAGGTACAGTAGCAGAGAAATACTGTGAATTACTGAGTGGCTTGAAGCCCATGTTCTGCTCTGCAGCATCCAGACTGCATTCTGGGGCTGAGTGCTGCCAGGTTCTGCAGGAGCCGGTGTTGCCTTTGGGCATGAGCCCACCAACTCAATCTCAGCACAGGCCAGTTGTGGCCAGAAAACTTTTTACCCTCTGCAGGTTTTTTGTTATCAATGTAGAAACTAGTCACTAATTGTGAAAAATAGATGTGCCTCAGAGCAGCAGCATTATTTCCAGTGTCAGGCAGGTGGTGGCAGGAGCAAGCCCAGAGACAAGTTTTCAAAGCAAGGAGCTTTGAGCAGGTGAAGAAGGCAACTCCAAGAGCTGCTGGGATGGTCTGCCCTTTCCATGGGCTGTCTATCTCCTGGGGGTGACACTTCTGTCCTTTCTCTGAATCCCTCTCTCACAAGGCTGATGACAGTCGTCCACGAACAGCAATCAAAATTGTGCCTAGCCTCTTTCAGTTGTATAATGAACCCAAAAGGACTTATCAAAATAGAGAGGCAATTGTGTTGGCCAGCTGTTTAGCATCCTTCCCACTCAGCAGGGAAGCCCACGCTGCAGCTGCAGAGGTGACCTAAGAGTGCTCACTTGCGAGCTAAACTTTGAAACGCTTTCAACAGTGCTTACTCAGATCCCAGAAATACTCCCACTTGAGCAGCATTGGGCTGAGTATTATTCTATCTTTCTACAGTTTTAAGGGGGATTTAAAAAAAAATGCTGTGATTGGATGCATGGCTGCTGAGCTGGCACAACCTAGGAGTTGCCTTGGGATGCAATTCAACTTCTTCCATCATGGAAGCGTTAACGCAGCCCAGCAAAACCATCCTTGCTGCTGACTAGCAGCATACTTGCTATCTTGCTCTGATAGATGCTCCCTGAACTGTTGTGCCCCCTGTTCCTGTTTTCTTTACAAGCTTTTACTCTTTGCTTGGCTGTGATGCAGAGGGATGGTGGACAGTTGAGTAAAACTCAGATGTTGTTTTTGCTTCACCAGATCAGCTGTCAGAAGGGCCATGTTCACATCTATCGTCTCTTAGCTCTGCGGCTGGAAGTCCCCACCCTGACTCCGACGGCACAGCTTCTCAGTCAGCGAGGGTGTTAAGGAGGCAGTCCAAGCCTGTGGTATCCTTTATTTCACATCTTATCAAGGGTTTGGTGGCTGTGGGGGCAGAGAGGTGAGAGTGATACCTCTGAGTTGACCGTCCCTGGCAGGTTTGTTCTGCCATCTCCATCACATCTGGCAAAAGGCTCGCGGCTTCTCCAAACCTGCTCTGTGAAATGGGAGGAGCAATTCTTATCTGCTGTCCATTACACTGTGAAACAATTAATGCTTGGGAAGGACCTTGTGATCCTCTGGCAGGAGTGCTTACACAAAAGCAAGACGTTATTGCTGTTATAAAGAGCAATACTGACAAAACCAACTGTCACAATAAAAAAGAACAATGGTTTCTTTTTTTTTTACTATTTACTGATGTTTTTCCATGTTTCTTCCCTTAGGAGATGACAGAGAATGGCAGTCATCAGCTGGTGGTAAAGGCCAGGTTCAATTTTAAGCAGACCAATGAGGATGAACTCTCCGTTAACAAAGGAGACATTATTTATGTCACCCGGGTTGAAGAAGGGGGCTGGTGGGAAGGGACCCTGAATGGAAAAACAGGCTGGTTCCCAAGCAACTATGTCAGAGAAATCAAATCCACCGGTAAGCAAATTGCTTTCAAGGGCTGATTGAATGACAGCGGTATAATGCAGTGTAGATCTTTGTGCCTTTGGGAAATTGCTGCTATTTATTATGGACTGGTTTTTGTACTTAACACAGCAGGGCTAATGGAAGGATATGTGAGGCCGGAAGGGTAAAGCCTAGTCTTTCGCATGAGTTGTTTGAGAGCTGCTTCGCCCTCTTTCCCAGTACATCATGCCTTTCTCTCACTCCCCTGAGCCCCAGCAGCGTGGGAGCGGGGACGTGGTGGCTGCGTGGTTACCCTTTGTCCTGGAGAGCCGCCAGGTCTCTCCCACATCTGAGCGCAGGTTTGACTTTTTGTTAGAGACCTTGGTCAGGCAATGTGTTGGTGTTTCATCCTGCCATTTCTGGCAGCAGTGGAATGGATACTCATGGTATCCATGAGGAAACCAACAAAGACTACATGGCTGCAGGGAATGGTCCCCTAGTTTTGTCCATAGCAATGGCTGATTTCACAGAGTATCTTCTGCTGCAAAGCTACAGTGATATTGAGAAAGGAAGAGGGAGGGAATGACCATCTGGTGACATCTGCCTTGACTGAGCTTTGTCCTGAGTGTCCTTAACATCTTCTGTGATGTGAATTTAACCAGATGTGGGTGATGATGCCATGAAGTGTGCCTCTGGCTGACTGCCCTGTAGTGTTACATACCCATTCAAGCAGCTCACCCCGTTGTGCTTCCGAGGCCATTCTGTGTCAGTAAACTTGTTTTTCTTACAAAATCCAACTTTAATTCTTTAATGTGCCTTGAGGACTTACTCTAGACAGAGACCTGTTGTGTGCTGGGTGCTGGTTTTGTGGCTTAGGATCAGCTCTGACCTTAAATGCCATGAGACATCAGCAATGTGGCTGCAAAATACACAACCCCTGTTAGATATCCCCACTCCCACGCTCGCAAGCTAAGAAAGCAACGGAGGAAAGAATAAAATTAATGAGTGTTCAGAATTAGGCCAGTTTTTATTTAATTCTAAATGAAAAAATCTTTGTTAGGATGTCTCATCTCTCACTGTTTCCCTCTGGGAAATGGTATCTGAGCTGGAGCAGGACATTGCAACAGAGATTGAAGGCTTGTCTGACACAACCTGGGAATCTCTAATTAAGTCAGTGAGTGGAGAAAAGAAATGTTTTTTGTTGGTTTGTGGAGTTTGTTGGTTTTTTTTTTAAAGAGAGCAAACTTCAGTCCCATAGGGAAAATCAGATGCGACCTGCATGAAATAACAGCACATCATTGAGGCTAAGGGCAAATCTCCTGTCGATCCTGATGTAGGAGCCCAGTCAATTTCTTTATCTGCAGAGTCTTTCCACCCAGATCCTCTCACCAGCACCCTTTTCACATGGGAGAAGGGTTCGTTCCTTCTGTCTCTGCTTGCTCAGGATGCGTGGCCATATTGCAAATGCTGGATGCAGGGCCCATCAGGTAACCCTGTCCTGCCACAGGACCACTGCCTGGGGGGCTGCATCACAGGAGGAGCCCTTGCTGCTGTCCTCACCTCCAAAGGGCAAGATTTGTTACTTGAAATGGAGTTCCTTGTTTTTCAACAGTGTCTGTACTACCACCATGTCCTGAGCGTACCCTTTGGGTGGAAATAGCTACCTGTGTGGAGCAAAGCTCCTTCAAGTCTTTAAATGAGGCACAGAGCTCCCAGCTGGAAGTGAGAGGAAACTCTGCAAGGGCAATAATTAGATGGTACATCAAGCTGCAGTTTCCAGGGGCTAAATTTATCAATTATTTATCAATTTATCAATTTATCGGTGTGAAATTAATTGCCTTCTGTGAGCGATTGCAGGGAGAAAGGTGAGACTGGCTGCTCCGTGCAGCATAGAGGCAGCTCAGTACAACACGCGCAGCTCAGCCGGGACGGTGCAGCTGACCTGTCCCTGTCCGGAGGGGAAATGGTGCCACCGGGGTGCTGGGAGAGCTGGTAAAGCTGTGCTGCTGGCAGGGGAGAGAAAATGGAGCAAGGACTTGTGCATGTGGTGTCGGCTTCAAGTGCCTTGTGATCACCTGAAGCAAAATGTTGTATCCAGCCTTTCTGATAGACACCCAGATTTAAAACGCAAATTTTGTGGGCTGGATGAAGCCACACTGTTGTTCCAAACAGCGCCAGACGCTGGACTTCTGCCAGGGATTTTGGAGCAAACCTGTACATTATTTGGCAGAGGCTGTGCAATGTTTCTGGTGCGACTCCCTCAATTGCTGTCATGTCATGCACGCCATCGGTTTGCTCCTAGTTTTATTGAGGCAGGCAAACAAACCCTGCAGTTGAAGTTTGGCGTTCACAGGGGTGAAGTTATGTTTGCTGGACATGATGTGGCAGTGACTTTTTTTCTGCTGGGGATAATGAGCTGTGTACTGTCACTTACTGATGTTTTTTTTTTTTTTTAATATAGATAAGCCACTCTCTCCCAAAGCATTAAAAGGACTTGAAAGCACTCAGCTGACAAAGAATTATTACCCTGTGGTAAGTTTGAAAGTGCTGATCGTATATTTAAATAAGTGGCATATTATTTATCTTCTGAACCTTACCTTAGAAATCATTGAAGCAATTTGTAACATTTGGGGCTGTGACTGTATTTAAGTGCAGCTGTTGCCATTTCCTTGATTCAAGGCTGTCGAGACAATAAACCACAAGTGGAACCTGCTGCAAGATGTCAGAAGGAGAGACTCAAAGTAGGCGAGTGAGATAATACAGCAGAGGTGACAGCTTTGGGATCAGTGTTGGAGAATAAGGCACAATGCCTCTGGTCCAGACCTTGCCATTGACTGCAGGCTGGCTCCTATTGATAAAGATGGGGAGATAATGTCACAGTGAAGTAAGCCAAATGAGGGCTCTGATTCACAATCCCTTTCTCGGGTTTGGCTGAAGATGTTACACCCCGAGCTGCCTGCCCTGTGCCTCTGCCAGCAGCTGTGGCCCTTGGGGAAGGGGCAGCCACCACAGATCCCAGCCTGAATTGGCAACTGGGATTGGCTTCGGAGCAGGTCAGCCTGCCAGGCTGTGAACTGTGGCTGTGGATGGGGTGGAGGAACGTCACCGCCTCTACCATCTTGCTGCCAAAGCGGTGAGGTCTGGCACAGGGGGGCAGGTACCTTCCCGCTGTTTCTAGGCAAGAGCAAAGCCTGCGATGTATGAGAATCACAATGCCTGCCTGTGACCGTCACTGGCTCTCAGTGCTGGAGGTGAAACATGCTCATTAGCATGTCTAAATATATTTCAAGCAAAGCAAAGCAAAAACAATATGTCCAGAGAGCTGGGAACCACCTTCACTGTCACCAAAGCTCTTCTGCAAAGAGAAACTTGAGTGATGACTGGGAGCGTGCAGGCGGTGGGTTTGCCTCCCCTGCTGTCGGGGACAAGTTGGCTGTTGAAATGGATTACCAGGACCAAACTTGGCACATCCTCAAAGCGGCAAGTGAACTGTGTCCTTTCTCAAGCTGCCGCAGGAGCCGTTCTTGGCCTAGCCAACATTTAAATTGTTGCCGGCCTTCGTGCATGCGGTGCTGCCGGGATGCATGCACAAATCATTTGTTTGCATACCTTGGCAGGCAGTTATACATGCAGGGTGAGGCATGAGCCTTTCGGGGGTCAAATACTAAACTCAGGTCTGACCTGATGTTGTCTTCATGCTTTGCCAGAGAAGAAGCAGCAGCCCTTAACATCTGCTTTCCAGGCCTCCCCCAATTTGCGAAGTGAAATCCCCAAATTGGACTCCCTAGGGCTTTCCTGAGTGTTCTGGGTTCTGCATTTAGAAGTGTAATTTATGGACTTAAAATACTCTTCCATGCTTTTCCACACTTGGAAGCTGATGTCATGTTCCTTTGACTAGTCGCTAGTACTAAGATCTGCTCAGTGCTCTGTCTCTCACCCTAGGTGTTGCAAAATATTCTGGAAACAGAACGAGATTATGCGAAGGAACTACAGTCACTTCTGGGAACTTACTTAAGACCCCTCCAGTCTTATGATAAGTAAGATATAAGGGCATCTGAGGTGGAGACAACCCTGTAAAATTGACCACAGTTCATTACTTTCCTGCTTTTGAATGTTTAGGGACTGTTACTGCTGCTCTTGTAAAGCCTCACTGCTTCTGTGAACCAGAAAAGAACCCCATGTTATATAGGTTTCTGCTCTTTCCCATTCCTCAGTGGTGGTGCAGGCACTGGGCTGTGCGAGGGACAGGCATTTCCATCTGGTGGAGGGCTGGCTGTCACAACCCACCCGCAAGCTCGTGCGTGGCTGCCCAGCATGCATGTTTCCCAGCAGTGTGCCTTGCATGGCTACCCCCCTTGTCATTTTCCTTGTTGTGACTTCCACATGGCGTTTTCTTGTCATCATTTCGCACGCAACAACTTGCATCCTCTTTGCTTAGATGGCCTCTTGCTAAAGCCAAACCACTGTTGAGCAAGAAACGTCTCCCCTGTCCCCCCATCCACACAGCTATCACTTATGGTCTGAGCAATGCTGGGGTGAGTGGGGGGCCTTGTCAAGGCTTACTGTTTGCCACACGTGATGGCCAGCACGGCGCAGAGGCAGCAAATGCTGTCCTTACCCACTGCCTGTCAGCAGATTCCTATCAATGGTTTCACCCTGCCTGAAAGACCCAGGGCAGTTAACTTCACCTCCTGCTTATTGCTTCAGCTTTATGGTCTTCTCTTCCAAGTGGTGCCATCTCGGTGACCCTGTCCATGTGGCTGCATTCGGGGCCAGGGTCCCTCCAGCTGAGCACGCTGCGGGAGGACTGGGTGGCTCCGGGGCCTCACAGGCAAAGGGCAGATGTTTAGACATCATCCAGTCCAGAGAGATGGGAGAGTGGTGTCTTAAGGCCTTTGTATTTGAATCTCTCCACCTTTCCCCAAATCTTCATGTGGGATGTCTTCAGCTGGGAAAGTCTCTCATGCTTTCAGCATTGTAGGCAGCAAATGGCTTAAATGAAGATGGTGACTCTGAGGATGGCCCTGAGGAAGACAGAAGCAGGCACGTTAGCTTTGGCTAGGAAAAATCCAACCTTGCTCAAGGAACAAAGCAGCGCCTGCCCAAGGGGCTGCTCACAGGACCCTGCTCATGTAGAGAAACTCACAGCATGCATCCCTGAAGACAAAGCTGTCTCTGTGTCTGTGCACACACCTCCTCCCCATACCCTGGCTGAAACTCCATCTGTCTGTGTCTATTAGACAGCTAAACATCTGAGAAGATTAGTGTGATTAAGTGATTAAAATCCAATTAAGATAATCCTTGACAGCAGATGTCTTCTCTGGGAAGCTGTGGTCTGTAGCTCACAGATCATGGATTTTGTGTTTGCCCATGTTCATGATGTATCTGGGGAAAGAGCAATTCTTGGGTCTTTTTGGTAGGACAGCTTACAGATACCATGGGGGTGCTCCTAAGAGCAACATCTCTTTGATGCTAATTGGTGATTTGACTTTCTTAGGCTCAGCGCTGTGGACATCGCATCATTGCTGGGAAATGTGGAAGAAATCTCTGCATTTCAGCAAACACTGAACCAAGCCTTGGAAGAATTTGCAAAGTAAGCTTGTGCCACAGCACTGAGGTTGTTAAGCTATTAAACTGCAGCCAAAAATAATAGAAAGACATGTTCGTTAATGTTCCTCCTGGCTGCTGTCTTAAACTTATTAAATATAGAAGAAAATAACAGGATTGAAGAAAGGTAGCAGGTAGTGCTTTGGCAGGAGGGAAGATAGAAGAAACTCTGACATTTCTACTGTTAAGGCATCTGCTGAATGAAAGTGTCACTAGAGCTGACATGAAAGTGTACCTAGACCAGAGATGCAGACATGTGCAGGGTAGGAGACCTGGCAGATGTGAAGATGGGGATTGCCAGGGACCAAAGAGCAAATTATTAGAGGTGAGAATTTCCTGCAGGGAGGGTGGCACACATGTTCAGCCTCAGCCCAGCCTCTCCTTTGGAAAGGCTATAAAGAGATGGGGAAAAGACTGAATATTGGAAATATATTCAGACCATGGCTTCTCTTTCTCTCTCCATCTCCTCTCTCCTATTCATGGCCCAGACAGTAGGAACACCCCTGTGTTGCACCCAGTTCTTTTCAGCACATGCTCATCAGCTGCAGTAGGCTAAGGCATCCCAGCTGCAACGCTGCTGGTAGGATGGCTGGGTCACACCTTGTCCCAGGCTGACAGTAGGTTGTGGTACTCACTGTCTGCACCGGAGAAACCCAGACCCATCCGAGAACCTCCTTCTTCATCCTTCCCAAGTGGCAGGTGTGGGTGTTTTGCTCAGTGCTGCACTTACGCAGTGACCAGGGAATGTCCCTGTGCAGTGGGTGGTTTCTGAGCAGATACTTGGGGTGCAGACCAAGGGCTCAATGTTGTGGCTGGTGTGTTGGCACCCATAGGCTCCCGGAGAACCAGCAGCGCGTGGGAGGCTGTTTCATGAACCTGATGCCCCAGTTCCGCTCCCTGTACCTGACGTACTGTGCTAACCACCCGTCGGCAGTCAGCGTCCTCACGCAACACAGGTGAGTGATGGAGAAGGAGATTGAGGCTGAAATCCCTCCTAAAAAAAAGTTAATTTTATTGTTAATACTTGACCTGGCTTGGCATTTGACCTGTATTTTGGCAATAGGGCAGGCAAGGGGGATAACACGGAATCCCACTGCTGGGGAAAATGCTGGGGCTTTGGGCTTTTCAGTGTAGCTCCAGCACAGAGACAACTCGTGCTGCTTGTCATCAGAGCTGATCTCAGGTCCTGTCTGCACATACAGGACTTTTGTTGGGGAAAACAGGCGACCTCAGCCATTGCAGTAGCATCTCCTGTGGTTGTTGCTTCAGGATGCTGTTTCAGACCTATCACTGAAGTGCTCACACATGGGCACGTGAGAGTGTGTTCCCCTGGGGCACCACGGTGTGTGGCACATCCTTGCAAAAGGAGGGTGGGCATTAATTCACCCAGAATTACCCAACTTAATAACTGAGCAGCTGTGCAACCAAATGCTTGATTTGCAGGGTCATTGGTAGATCACAGTAATAACATCTTCCTTGCACACATCCCACTTGAGCAGATGCTTGAATTTGTATGTTATGCTAGAGAACACACCAAGCCAAAAGACTACAGCTGTCACTCCTAGCAGTTTAGCTGTCCTCCTTGCAGTGATGGAAAAGCCAGAACCCTGGCCATACTCTTTAAGTCTTCCCATTCTGTAATGAGAACTCACAATATATTTATATACCTGTGGTAATACGGCTTTAATTCCACCTAACAAAAAGCCTGGCTCCTGTAAATGCCTCATTCATGTGGGTCCTCAGTCTGACTCCTTTTCTTAATCAAAGAATCAGCTTTCGCATATGCACTGAGATGCACAAGCCGTGTTTTCCAGAGCAATGTATGAGCTCGCAACGGCATTACGGCTCCCAGTAGGCTCCCAGAGCATTGCTGCAGCATCCTCTGGCACAGCACCAGCCTCTGCATCCCTGCTGACCACCTGGCCTTGGGCCACCTTGCTGTGCTGGGGGACCAGCAGCCAGCATCCCTGTACCCCAGAGGCTGTGCACACCAATGCCCACTACCACGCAGCATTGTCCCCTGCATCCCTGCGGAGTGGGGTCTTGCTTGGTTGGAAAAGTTCACAGCTCACCACTCACCCTGCCAAGTTTGTGACAGGAGGGTGCTTGAAGTGGACACTTGGACTGCTTTTAAAAACATACAGCTCGGAACAGGGCACTGGCCACTGGGAGAGCATGGGAGGCAGCAAAACACAACCCGTGGCAGTGGCGAGCCCTCCTCCTTCTTGTTGTTGTCTCTATTTATAGTGATGAGCTGGAGAAGTTCATGGAGAGCCAGGGTGCGGCCAACCCTGGTATCCTCATCTTAACCACAAGCCTCAGCAAACCCTTCCTGAGGCTGGATAAATACGTGTCGCTGCTGCAGGAGCTGGAGCGGCACATGGAGGTAGGTGGGATGTGGGGCTGCTGGTCAGGCTGTGCCCCTTGGTGCTGCAAGAGCTGCCCCCCTAGCTGCTAGGGGCACCTCTGTGCCTTGGTATTTGAGCACCACATTGCTAAAAGCACTTACCACCCATCCAAGGAGGTATTCCATCTCCGTGGGACGTTGTCTACCTTAAAAGGTAAATCTAATGATTAAAAGTGGGAAAGCGGTGGAGTCTAAGGGATGCTGTGGGAAGGCATTGACTGCTTTTCACCCTAGCCCCTTCTCTAAGATGGGCTGTTTCCAGCACAAGTAAAAGCAGAGTTCAGGGTCAGTTGGTATTCATTTGCACAGTGGGTAACAAATTGGTGTTTTTATTATCATTTTATGAGATTCCTATCCCTTGCTTCTGGCTCCTGCAGCTCACAGTCACATCCCCAGCTCATGCTTCTGGGTGGAGACAGAGCGGCACAAGCAGACACCAATCTGGCAGCCAGACACGGGGGCGGAGGAGCAGCCTGGAAGCAGGGAGAGCAGTGAAGGGGCACAGAAACGTCCTTGGTGGGTGGCAGATCTGTTTTAGGACGTTTCTCCCCCCAGGGACTGTAGAGATCTCCATCCTGCTGCCGCTGGAGCTCTGCTGCTCGTCTGCTGGTACACTCCAGCTGTGAGGATGGAGACCTCAGGGGTGGTGCAAGGAGGTGAAGAAAACGGAAGTAACAGTCTATTTTTAACCGGGTTTGCTTTTTCCCTCTTCCAGTATTAATTCCCAGTTAATTACTCAGCACGCTTAGCCATGATCATTCAAATCTACATCCTAGTCAGAGGATTAAAATCTCTGTGCTTGAGCCAAGGGTTTTTCTGCAAAATAGGAGAGGGTATAAGAGCCTGCCCTGTAGGCACACTACAGATCTGGCCTGTCCTGCTCTCACCTGGCTCAGCTGAGCTGTGGGGACAGAGCTGAGCTTGGCTGCAGCCTCCATGGCTGTGCAGAGGCAGCGTGTTCATCACAGGGTGCTGCATGGGGTTTGGCAGTGGATTCAGGGACACACACATCACATGTTTATCTTTGTTTTGAAGACAAGTGTGGGGGTTTTGTTGCATGAATCAGTAGGGTTGAGGTTTAAGCTGTGATGCCATGGGAAGAATATGGATGTATGCAATATAGATGCATGCAGCATGGATGTATACCATAGCATTCCCTGTGCTGCTGGAGATGGAGCAGGTCTGTCTGAGGCAGCCCTCATCTCGAATTCAGAGGTGAGTGATCCCAGGCAGCCACAGGGGTCACTCCGTCACAAACTAGACACCTTAGGATTCGCTTGGCAGGGGGTCTGGATGGTGAAGAGTTTATGATACTGCCTCCAGCTTTGGAGTTCCCAACACAAAAAGGACATTGAAGTGCTGAAACGAGTCCAGAGGAGGGCCACAAAGTTGATCTGAGGGCTGGAGCACCTCTCCTTATGAAGATAGGCTGAGAGAGTTGGGGCTGTTCAGCCTGGAGAAGAGAAGGCTCCAGGGGAATGTTATAGTGACCTTCCAATTCCTGAAAGGTGCCTGTAAGAAAGCTGGGGAAGAGCTGTTCACTAGAGCATGTAGCAATAGGACGAGGGGTAATGGTTTCAACCTAGAAAAGGGTAGATTTGGGTTGGATATTAGAATGAAGTTCTTCAACATGAGAGTGGTAGTTCACTGGAACAGATTGCCCAGAGAGATGGTGAAGGCCCCATCCCTGAAGATATTCAAGGTCAGGCTTGATGGGGCTCTGAGCAACATGATGTAGTGACAGTGTCCCTGCTTACTGCAGGGGAGTTGGACCAGATGATTTTTAAAGGTTCCTTCCAACCCATTCTATGAGTCTATGATGTAGGGTCTTAGATGCCCAGGAGAAGGTGCTAGTGCATGCAGCTGTCATCAGAGACAAGGGGCAGCATCCTGCTCTCCCCTCCCTCACCCGCTTAGATGTGCCCTCCCTTAAACCTGGAGCTGAAGCTCCTGTTCGTGCTCCTGGAAGCTGCACCCTTGGTGAGGTGATGGCTGGAAAACTTTGCGTGCCAATGCCTGAAGGGGAAACCAGAAATTTGCCCTGTGCCTCTGCCTGTTTTGATTGATTTTCTTTGTAAGCCAAGTTTGTTTGAAGTAAAATCCGATCTGCTTTTGCTCTGGCCACTTAACACTCGTTAAATTGGTCTCAATGAATTGCATAACAGCTTTTAACTGTGTCATGTTGAACTAGGTGGCAAGGAAGTTATCTGGGGAATTTTGGCCCCATCCTGCCTGCACCCTGAGTCCTGCATCTCCCAGTGCCCTGCCAGGTCCTGTGGCCCTGTGTGTGGCAGGGGGGTGGGTGCTATGGAGGGTGGGTGCTGGTGCTGGTGGCTGAGGGATTTTTCTCTCCCTTCACTAGGAGGCGCATGCAGATCACGAAGAGGTTTTGAAAGCCATCACATCCTTCAAGTCCCTTGTGGTAGGTGGCAATTCTGAAAATAGAGCGTTCCATTTCAGGGCAGCGTTTCATGAAGAGTGAGTCAAGCCTGACATTTGTCTCCTCATTAGAAAAAATGGTCTTTTGAATGGAAAAGACAGGTTATACAGAATCTTAATTTCAAGTTTCAAGCCTGGAGCTGCCCCTCTGATGGCATGTTTCAGCAGTTGCTCGCTGGCTCTGCAGTCCCAGCAGCAGAACAGAAGGATCTCCAACTTTCTCCTCTGCTGCAGAAAGCCACGTGTGGACAGTGGTGGCAGCGGGGTCCCTTTCATCTCCTTTTGCCTCCATACCCTGATCATTTGCCACCTGAAATTAGACTGCTCCTTGCTCGTTGGGATGAGTGGTGAAAGGGTAACGCAAGTGACCTGCCCAGAGAGGTTGTGGAGTCTCCTCTGGAGACATTCAAAACCCGCCTGGACGCCTTCCTGTGTAACCTCATCTGGGTGTTCCTGCTCTGGTGGGGGGATTGGACTGGATGAGCTCTTGAGGTCCCTTCCAATCCCTAACGTTCTGTGATTCTGTGATTCTGTGAAGTGTCTGACTCAACCCCTCTAAGCCCATTGAGCAACTCTTGGTTTTGTTGAGGTTTGCTCACGGAGCATCAGGAGAATTTGACCATACTGCAGGTAATCTGTGGCACTGGGTGCTGTGGCCGTTGGTGGGGAATGGAGCAAGCAGCAGCAAAGGGATGAGAATGGAGCAAAGCAGCAGTCAGAGATAACAAAGCTATTTCTGAGAGCTGTGTTACCTGCACCCCTTCAGGTCCTACTACAATGAGATGAAAAATAGGGGGAAAAGCCATCCACGTGCACAAAGGTTTTACCCAGCAAAGCCTTTTTCAATTATTATAAAAGCTATAGTCTCTCTCGCTTTGTAGCCACTAAATACCTTTCACTATAACCACTCCAGATGTGGTCCAACTTCCTTCCTTAGCACAGCAGATGCGAGTTTTCAGTGCTTAGCAGTGCAGATAAAAGATGGGGAGGAGAAAGTTCATAGAAAACAGGAAAAGGGTGCTCATATTACATTTACTTAGAAACTCAGCTCCCTTTCCATTTATTCTAGCAGGTAATAGAGGAATGATTCAATTAAATTACAAGGTGTCATTATTCTTTAGGGATGCTCGTAAGTGATGCGTGGTTTTACTTGAGATCTGTTCTTGCGTGCTGAGCAATTTAATGTAATTATGATAACCAGGTTCAGTGTGGATTTGAGGTCAGATGGGCAGGGGTGCCCCTTGCAAGGGATGCATGGTCCCACGGTGGGGGGTGATGGCACGGCAGGGACTGCGAAGCGGCTGTGATGACTCTGTGCAGGCGGTGCTGGATTGCTGTGGGTGTTGTCTGGATTTGCATCCCGGGAACGCAGGATGCAGGCACCCTGACAGCCACTGAAGCACACAACAGTTGCAAAAGCAAAGGAAGTCCCCATAGTCTGGTTCAAAATCGTATGTTTTAAGACTAGAGTTCATGCAGCCTCTCTCTTGGAAGGTCTGGATAGTCAAGGAGTTTGTATGATCTGAAAAGGAGGAACATCTCTGCCAGAAACTAGGGATTTGGAAAAAACCAAGCAGGTGCTGAAAACTGAGTCCTGGTTTGGCTTTGCAGCAGTTCTTCCTGTTGGCAGAGGAATCAGTTAAAGCAAGTTTTGCTTGGATTTGCAGTTCAGTCAGCATTGTCCTCTGCTTGCCAAAAGCTGCGGAAGGACTGGCTGCTCTGGGAAGCTCTGCCGGTCCCCAGCTGCTGAGCATAGTTGCAGTCTTTTCAATTACAGCACCTTCAGAAGCTTCTTTTTGTGCTACTCTGTTGCACCGCTGAAATATTGCACCAAGTCCTGCTTTTGGGTTTGCAAATTTTGCTTAGAAAATATCCACCCACCTATCTGATTTGTGGGGGCTTTGCATTGCTCCAAGAATAACTCTCTTTTCTGTTTGGGCAAAATGGGCAATATCTCTCTAAGCAGCAGGAAAATTTAAGAGACATTTAACTGTGCAGCTGTCTCGGTTTGGAAAATATGACCTGGTAAGCTCAGAGGTAGGACTGGTTTGGAAAAAAAAGTTTGCTCAGTGCAGTTTGTGATTTCTTTGACATTTCAATGTGTTCATTACTTCATAAATTGCTAGGATGTGATTTTTTTTAATAAACTTTGTGTAATAGAGCCAGAGGAGGCTTTCCTGACCCCTTGGCATGACCAGCCCTGAGCCCGCATGACAGTGGGGAGTGTTGGGATGGTTTGGGTTTCTGCCTGCTCTGTGGCTAGTGAAGCGCTTGCTGTGATTCCCAGTTGCAATGCCAAGAGCTGAGGAAGAGGAAGCAACTTGAGCTGCAGATCCTTTCTGAATCCATCCAGCGCTGGGAAGGAGAGGACATAAAAACGATGGGAAACATCATCTACATGTCCCAGGTTATGGTACAGTGCGCGGGAAGCGAGGTGAGTGCGGGGATCCTTCTCCTGGCTAAAGATGTTGTGTCCAAATGGTCCTGTGCTCACGAGATTGGCGATGCAAGGTGACAGCTACTCTCACCCACACCAGCAAAGTGCTGATAAATAATGCTGGTAAATAACTTTACCTGGACAAGAGCTGTGTGATGTGCACATCTTTGGCATCAGGCATGTCATTGCGCCCTGGGGGCTTAGCTTCAGGCCTTTGGTGACACACTTTTCCAGCAGAAGCAGCATCTCGGTGTCACATAGCACATTAATTTCCCTTCTTCTCCCCTGTGACTTACTCTTGAGAAATGAGAGTGACTCGAAAGTGTGTATTAGCATAACCATTTTGCCACGTCCTGCGCACGGCACAGCAGCTGCTGTGACAACCCAGTCCAGAGCTGACTGTGCTTTGGAAAGAACTGGAGGGATTCCTGTGCTACTGGACCTAAAGCATCACACCAGAGCTTGCCACAGACCTTCACCAGTGGTTTTTAAAGCCACGCATACGGCATGTTTGGTGTAGGAAAGTGCCTGTAATCACCAAATTGCTTGCTTGCTGTAGCCACTTTTACCTGGGAAAGGCAGACCTGTAAAACAAAGCCCTGTAGAGTCTAGTCCTAGTATCCTGTTTGAGATGTGAGATGCTGGGGGACATAAGGTCTTGCTCCTCTGTGAAGTGACTGGAAGAGTAATAGCAGGATGCAGATGAGATGTATGCAGGAAAAACTAGCACAAAAATTAGATGCTGTAAAGAAAAAAAGAAGCCGAAATAATTGGTTTGGGAGTGATCTCTCACAGTCTATGGTTCTGGCTGTAGCAGGCTCAGTTTGCTGGAGGAAAGTGCTTGTGATGAATTGCAAACTGGTCTAACCTAAATCCTTATCCCTGCAGGAGAAAGAAGAGCGATATTTCTTGTTGTTTTCAAATGTTTTGCTGATGCTGTCTGCAAGCCCACGGATGAGTGGGTTCATCTATCAGGTAGGCATGCTTAATTTGAAGTTGCAAGGCGTTAGGTGTGAAAAAGGAAATCAGATAGCTCTTAATCAAATTCAAATCCTCTGCTTTCTTAAACCTCTCTGTTGTCATGCAAATGCCCCAGGCTGGGAACTGAGGCTTGGTTTCACCATGCCTTCCAGGACACTGGGTGCCTTTGTCCTGTCAGCTGGTTAAACAGCATTTGGTAAGTGTGAGTGCTAGGAAATTAGAAAAAAAAAAACCCTCACAAAATGTTGTACTACATGCTGTTCTCACAGATGGGAGGTGTGTGTGTGTGTAAGGTGTCCTGACCCAGCTGTAGGGTTTTGTGCCATACCACCAGCCAGCCAGCTCTTAGGCTTGTACTGTCTCTGGAAAACATTTCACTGCTATAAAGCCCACTGTAAAAAGCCCAAAATTTCCACTCTGTGAGGCACTCCAAAACTCTGCATTTTTTCGTGTTTTACCACTTGAGTGGCTGCAGTCAGGCTGTTGGAAGCTTGGCTTTTCTCCAGTTGCCTGAAACCAGGAAAAGGATGCTCTTGTGTTGAGGCCATTTATTATACGCAAGGGAGATGGGAAAGATTTGAGAAGGATTTGTCTGGGTTTTTTGATTTTACCCACCAGCGGGAGTAAGGTGAGCAGGCAGTTGAGCATATGCAAAACAGGGAAAGCTTTCAGAAAAACCAGGGGAAGTTGATCCTTCTGACTTGGTTGTAAAAAGGGTTTGCACCTAGTGAAGGAAAAGGGTGGCAGATGAGCTGGGGATGACTCAGTTGTCATGGGTGCCTCTTCTTGGGGGTGTGACCTAGTTGTGTGGGGAAATCTAGATCCATACATTAAAGGAGACGTTTCCTGCAGTCTGAAGCCTTCACAAATTAGTTTTTAATGGTTGTTTCCAAAGAGAAAGGAATCAGCTGAAACAGGCAGAGCAACGCCTGCTGGGAAGCAGATGCAGACACTGACTCTTCCTAATTCTCCTAGGGAAAGCTGCCTTTGATGGGAATGACACTGACAAAACTGGAAGACGTTGAAGGGAATGAGCACATGTTTGAAATTGCAGGTCAGTGGGGCCCCTGCCTGGGGCCGTCCTCTCAGCAGCTGCCACTGGAGGAACTGGTCCTGCTCTGCCACCCACCCCCTGTGCCATACTTCTTTTTGCTCTTCTACTGTGCATTGTCTGAGTTCCTGAGCATCTCCCTCCTGGTTGGGACAACCTCCTCCCAGTGCCCTTGAGCTCTGTCTCTGGTACTGGGCTGCTTCTGGAAACCATACTGTTCCGTGAGGGACAAATCTCCTGCCAGGGCTGGTTATGGCCCCAATAGCCTTGCTCTGTGCTTTGTGTGCCCCTTCTGTGTCCGGCGTCCATCCCGTGCAGATGTGAGTGCCTCGTTTGTTGACAGATTAATGGCTTTAATCATCAGGTAGCTTTCCTAATGTTCCTCCTAATTTTCCTCTTCAAGTTATCTCATTACTTGTAGTGATACACGGCTGTCATGCCCAGTGACTTGGCTGCAGTGCAGCTATTTGTGCTGGTGGTATTTGGTGTTGGGGTCCTGTTAATCATGGAAATGTTGTGTTTGCTTTCTTATAACCGTACAATGATTCCTCACACATTCATCTCGCCAGTTCTCTTAGCTTTTCTGGGCTGCTCTCTCGCTGGCTGGCGCTGGGTGCCTGAAGCATGATGGGCAGTCACATCTTTGCACTGGCCTTTTGCAGCCACTGGGCTTTGGCTGAGGAGCCATTTGCTGCTGTGCCAAGTTGAGCTCACCCTGTGTTTCCTCCTGGGTCTCTGTTGCTTGCTAAAGACAGTTATTTAACCCTCTGGCACAGGGAACATGATGGAGCGGATCACTGTGTCCTGCAGCACCAGCCAGGACTTGCACGAATGGCTCGACCACTTGCAAAGACTGACCAAAGGGACGTGCAACACCATATCCAAAACGCAGTCCTGGAGTGCTCATTCGGTAAGTGTTTCACCTCCCCCGCCTCTCTGCTGCCTAGGGTTCCTCAGCACTGCCTGATTTCTCTTTTTCAGCAATGCACCTTGGTACTGAGGTAACATCTACAGCTGTAAGACACATCCTGCAGTTTTAATTGGAACGATGTTGTGCTCATATAATTTTACACGTATCCTGCCCTATTTTTCTTGCAACCTAGATGTTTCAAAGAAGTTCACAGTGAACCCTTGTCCATCCTCCTCTGCTTTTCTACATTGTCTGGTGGCTAACAGTCTTCGTTTTCTTCTCATCTGTTTTCTCAGACATTTACTTCAGCTGCGCAGATCCGTGGGCCTCTGGAACCCCCCAAAATCCTTAAGCCCTGGAGTCTGAGCTGCCTCCGTCCTGCTCCTCCACTCAGACCATCGGCAGCACTGAGTTACAAAGAGGTAATCATCCCACGTGTCTGCAGAGGACCCCAAATTCACAGCAACACTTAGTGCTTGTGTCTGAGTTTCTTATTGCAATAGCAAGGGCATGGAAGCTGAGGTTTACCCCCCCCTTCATTAATGGGGATGTTGAGAGAGCAAAGTTTTACCCTGGTCCTGCAGATGCGCGATGGATGCTTGTTGCTGCGGCTGGCCGAATACGAGCATGCAGTGTGCCCAGGTGGCCAAGGAGGCCAATGGCATCCTGGCCTGTGACAGCATTGGTGTGGCCAGCAGGCCAAGGGCAGGGATCCTTCCCTTGTACTGGGCACTGGTGAGGCTGCACCTTGAATTCTGTGTTCAGTTTTGGGTCCCTCACTCCAAGAAGGACATTGAGCGGCTGAAGCATGTCCAGAGAAAGGCAATGAAGCTGGGAAGGGCTCTGAGCATAAGAATGAAGGAACCGAGGGTGGAGAAGAGGAGGCCGATGGGAGACCTTATCACCCTCTACAACTCCCGGAAAGGAGGGTGTAGCAAGGAGGGGGTTGGTCTCTTCTCCCAAGTAACAAGCAATAGGATGAGAGGAAATGGCCTCAGTTTGCATGAGAGGTTTAGATTGGATATGAGGAAAAATTTCTTCCTTGAAAGAGTTATCGAGCACTGGAAGGGGCTGCCCAGGGAAGTGATGAAGTCACCCTCCCTGGAAGGATTTGAAGGACTGAGAGATGAGGTGCTTAAAGACACAGTTTAGTGGTGGACAGGTTATGGTTGGACTCAATGGTCTTCAAGGTCTTTTCCAACCAAATGATTCTGTGAGTCTATGTGAAGCACGAGCGTGTGTGTGTGCAGGCTCAGCCCCATTCCTGGTGCTTGCTGTTGGCTGCTGGATGCCACCAGTCCCGCAGCGGGATGTCCCACAGCCTTGGGTGTCCCATTGGTGCCATGGTGGAGCTGCCTCCCCTCCCCTTCTTCCTCTGCCTTGGTCTGAACCGTGGGTGGGAGCTGGACTCCTTCCCAGGACATGCAACGTTGCCCAGGCTGGTGTTGCAGGATTGAGCAGCACCAAAAGGAAGAGGAAGAAGGCTTGTTGATATTTCCCACATCTTCCACTGTGTTTCGGTGGCTGGGGCAGGGCTGCCTGCAGCAGCCCCTCCTCTGCCGCCCACCTGAGTGCTTTACACACCTGTACCCTGCTGGTATGCAGCAACCCAAGAGATCGCTTCCCTCACAGAGACCCCAAGCCCCGGAGGTAGGAGGTGGCGTGGGGATACCCAAAATACAACCAAGCTCCAATTCTCACACCCTGCTGTAACTGCAGCATGCTCCTTCCCTACCTCACATTAAACTTTTGGGATTACTCACTAGTAACTTGGGTAATGTTCCCCTTACTGAGTGAGCATTCTGGTTCTGAGTCAGCCACCTTTCTTGGTACAGCAGCCCTGGGAGCACTACAGCCCAGGCTCCCAGCCCGGATGGGGAGCAGGACTTGGACCCCCTCAGCCCCCACAGCGATCAGGGATGAAGAGCCCAGCAGCTGGGGTGGCTGTGGGTCTGCCACTCCAGGTAGAGGTTTTAGGTAGCCTCATGACATTTTGTTACATTTATTTCTTAAAATTTGTAATACAAAGCATTTCAGTTTGGCAATTAAATTGTTTAAAAACTAACTAAGCAGAAAGGAAACAACCCTCTTTATTGTGAGGGTGACACAGGTTGCCCAGGGAAGCTGTGGACGCCCCCTCCCTGGAAGTGATCAAGGCCAGGTTGGACAGGGCTTTGGGCAACCTGGTCTGGTGGGAGGTGTCCCTGCCCATGGCAGGGGGTTGAACCAGATGATCTATAAGGTCTCTTCCAACCCAAACCATTCTGTGATTCTATGGCCCTTCAGCTTTGCATGGTCCAAATTCCTAACATAGATTAAACTGTTTCTTGCTTGCATGGTGAATTAAAATATAGGAAGGGGCTGGAATTAGAGGAGAAGCTTTTATGCATGGAAGTGCAAGGCTAATATTTGTTTATAACGCAGGCCAAACCCACAGATTGAGTGATAACATTAATACCGTGGTCCTCTGCAGTTTCTCAGTTGTCCCCCTGCCACACATTGCAGGAGTTAAACTCTCTGTGTCAAAACTAGGTGAGATGTTTTTGCCACAGAGGCCAAGCCAGCAGGGAGCCCCAAAGGGGAAGATGCTAGTGTGCAAGGTGTCAAAGGACCAAAAATGTGGTTTGCATGGGAACAGGCTGTGCTGGCCACATCAGTGAACACCCAAAGGCCAGCAGGTCCACCAGAGCTGGGCTGGCACAGCCTGGTACCCAGCTGATGCAGCCTAAGCCTGGGGACAGCTTGCCTCTTGGGGGTGGATGACTTGTAGACACGAGCCTGTGATAAGAAATGTGAAACAAGTTCAGTTGTTGGCCCAAGCAGATCTGCATCTGCCTTTTCTCTACCTCCGGGGTGCTCAGGCACCAAGTAGCACTCCTATTTCACTTTTTTTGTTTTTTTTTGATTTGTTTGTTTTTTAGTTTTTGTTGTTTTGTTGTTGTTTTTTTTAATTTAAAGTAGGACACAAAATAAACTATGCTAACAGCTCGGTGCAAGTCACCTTCCTATAACAAAGATATAATGAAGGAATACAAATTTCAAAGTTTATTTGCAGGGAAAGGAGTGAGGGAGTTTGATTAAAAGATTAGAGAATTTCAGACATCCAGTGTTACTTTAGTTGACTTCTAGCCATGCAGGACGGGATGGCGGAGTCTTGTGCACTTCCTCATACCTAGCTGTGCTCAGGAAACCCCAGAACCTGCTTGCGTACTGCACAGCACTCTTGTTATTTCCATTGAAATTGGGTCATTTTTCCTGTTCTGTTTCCAGTAATCATTTGAAATGACAGAGCAGGTGCTGTGGGTTAAGCTGTGTATCCACATTCAGGTTAGCAAAGTGAAAAAGATTTACAGATTATTACTTCTTTTTCTTTCTTTCTTTCTTTCTTTCTTTCTTTCTTTCTTTCTTTAGGGGCCTGGTTTGCATTAGGTGAAGGTTTTATAACAGTGGCATTCAGTACTTGGCTGGCCAGACCTATAAGAGAGCCTCTTGGCTCCCTGTGCCAAGCATCCCAGGGATGGGACCCCCCCGGGGTGTGCAGGGAGCTCCCTGTCCTGCCAGTGGAGTGGGGAGATGCTACTGCCCGATGCTGCCAGGTCTCCAGCAAGGATGGCAGGTCCCCTGGTGGAGGATCCCCTTGGAGAAGACACAGTCCTGGGGGCTTGTCACCAGGGTGGACAGAGCATCCCATCATCCCAGCTATGTCAGGTTGAAGACCACAGGACCAGTGTTGGGCAGCTGCGGCATTGGCTAGCACCAAGGGGAGCTGCATTTTTAAATGCCTTTCTCTTAGACAACCAACATCTACAGAAACGTACTACTAACTGAGGAGGCATGTTCTCTATATTGATGTGTTTAGAGTGTGTTAATGCCCTCTTACCATGCATTTCATGTGTAATTTGTTCAGTTTTGCATGACACGTGCTCCTTTGCATGTTGGTAGTGCTCTAAAACCAGTATGGAGGGTGTGCCCTATTAATCACAAGACTAACATTTAAATGTGGTTTAGAATTGTGGTTTTAATGGACTTAGTCAATAAAATCATCAATCTCTCACACTCATCTTCTCTTTCTTTGCATATTCATTGTAGAGGATGTCTTATATCTTAAAGGTAAGGGTAGATACATCTCTTTGGCTTATTGTGCAAAGAATGTTTGTTCCCGTTCATGCTTCTCGTGCTTGCATGACCCTAATTTTACCTGACTGTATCATTAAGTTCTCATGAGAGTCAGTAGTAACTGGCAAATATATTTTGAGATAAGTCTCAAGAAGGATTTACTGTTATGGTATTTAAACCTCCTAGCATGCCTCTTCTCTTGCTTAAAGTCCGTATTGCATGTAACCTACTAATACACTAATTCTCTCCAAATCAGCAAGACTTGTAACACAGTTAAGGGGATAAAAGTTTGTGTTTCTTACTTGTGGAGTCATAGCAAACACTAACTGCATGTATTTGTTTGTTCTGTGTGTGTGTGATTTATAATCTCAAACAAACAGTGTGCATTTAGAAGTAACATTATTTGCCAACTGTTTTATATTAGAAATCAAATCAAGTCAAGGAAATAAACAACATTATAGGGTTTTCTAACAGATACCACAGAGTTGGTAAGCAGACTGAAAGTTCTGTAAATGTGCTTGAATTCTTTGGCTAAAGGATTAGGGTTGAATTTGCTAAAGGAGCTTGTCCTGGCCCACACCTGCAGGTGCAATTACCA